TATCTTCACAGGTGCGTCGAGTTCTACCAGAGGAAGTTCAGCAGGTGGATATCCTCAAGAGACTCTGAATCCGCCGCCGAGTCCGGCAACGATCGTCAGTTCGACACGTTGTTCAAGCAGCAATGCGTCGCGTTATAAACCATATCGGCATTACAGGAGCATCAATCAACCACCACCACCGACTCCGTGCAGCACGGATGTCTGCGATGAATCAGATAGTAATTATCCAGCGCGCTATCGTTACGAGAGCGAACCGTTTCCGCCGCCGCCCACTCCACGTTCCGTTTATCATAGCGATGCAGCGATCAGTTGCCCACCGTCTCCGAGTTCTAGATCGTCTACATATTTTAGTCCCCTGCCGCCACCGCCGTCGCCGGTGCCTTGAGAAAAGTTTAAAAACAGATGATGCTCTAATGCTTCTACTTTTGTATTTATCTTATTTCAGCATTCCTTTTATCTTCATTTTCGTCGCCGATAAACTATAATTGCTAAATTGACCATCAGGTGATACACAGTAATCGAAAATTCAACAACTAATTCTTGTAGAACGAGAGAAAATATGACAAAATATCATTTTATCATATAACGAATTCAAGTGGATATTTATTAGTACGTATTGGTGCATATTAAAGACTTGGTGCATACTGATTTACATAAATGTAATAATATATAATAAGTTGAATTCAGATATTCAGTATAATTCATTATATTATTAGAATGCATTAGACATTCTTTACAAAGCGCTTATTTATGTTTCACATCTATGTATATTTACATCTAAATAGATTAGTGTACATACATATTAGGTTATATATACTATGATAGATATACAGAATAATCTTTAATCTGCACCAAATAATTAAACGAATTCGTTTTTTTATTGATATTTTATAATACATTTATACTACTATAACAATTTCGTTAGAAATATTTCAAACTCAATGTGTTCCATATAAAAGATTAAAGTAAATTGTATAGATAGAATATACTATCTGGAGCAAAATCTTCTCTCCGAGGAGGTATTTTTTATTTCTTTTGTCATTTCGTATTACGTATTATAAAAATACAAAACTTCTTTCGTATTGTTGAGTTTTTGTCTTGGCAAAATTATAGATAATTCGGGAAAGAAGTATTTTATGATACGTTGCGATTAACTCAAATTAATGAGTTCTTTTGTAATTCTAACCCATTAATGGCCATTTTTGTTATAAAACTTCTTAACGGAAAAAAATAATCTTTTTTTTAAATTTTCCTGTATTTTATTTTTTTTATATTTAATTTAGAGTTTTCCAGAAAAATAATTGTATATTGTATTGCAATGTACATTACAATAATAACAGTATTAATCTAAGACTTTTTATAAAAAGTTACAGTTTAATTGAAATTTATATTGCAATTATATATAATTATATTATATATATATGTATATATAGATATATGAATATGTAATGGCCTTTAATGCGTTAACGCAAAAGCAACGATTAGTAAAACTTTTAGACTGATTATAAGGAATATTACTATTATTATTATTCGCATAAGATTTACTTACATGTCTATATAATTCATCGAACTCTGTATACTGGAATGTATTCTCTCTTATTCTCTCTCAATTTCTCTCAGTTTTCAAAAAAAGATGAATTTAGAAAGAGAGAAATTGTGTTAGAATGTTCTTTAAATATGTATACTGAAAGTTTTTAAAAACCGTCCAACATTTAACGAACATTTTAATAATTGTAATTTATTCATAGGACGTGAATTAAATTTTCTTACAGAATTAGATTTAGGAAGAAAGGCAACGCGCTATTTGCAACTGCATCTCTCTTTTTTGCCCTTACAGAGTTCAATGAAAGATAAGAAATATACCATTTGTGCCTAATATTTACGTTTTCATAGTTTGTAATATATAAGGAAAAGATCATTTTACGGCAGCAAGTTTTGTAAATATCTAGAGCAAGCGTAGTTTCTATGAAATTACTCTTGTATTACATTGTATTTGTAAAAAAGAAGTGTATATGACTATAACTTAAAGATAAGCATTAGAGAATCTAAGTCTTTTTAAGCATAAGAGAGATAAGTTTTTTTTTATTTACTAATACTTTATAGACGTGCATTTATCTATATTAATTGTGATGTATATCAAAATATCATATTATTATTATCGTTAATAACATGTACATGTTATTCATAATTTAATCAATGTGGCAATTAACCAGAGGCTGCGTTTTATGAATTTTATTAAATTTGACACTTCTTTCTTTATTTTAACTTTAGTAACAATTTTATATACATCATATTTTTAAATTTTTCGTGTTGACGCGAGAAGAAAAACGATATTAATCCTCTTTCTCTTTCTGCTATTATATTATATTCCTCTTTTATTAATATTTTATTCATTTATTCTCCCATATTGCTATATTATATTCTTCTTTTATTAATATTTTATTCATTTGTTCGATGGTTATCGTTATCCTGTGGAATATATTTACAGTTCAACAATATGTCATCTGTTACATCACATGTACACTCATCACACAGTACGCACACAAACTAGATATAATAATAGAAAAATTATGCATTAATCAAGATATTTTTAGCAATAATCAGTGCATTTTACATATATAACATTTACATTATAATCAAACCATGCGCTATATGATATGTATGTGACGTAGAAATGGCGTAACTTTAACGCACATATCCGTTCCTGTAAAAGCGGGTATATACGGCGAATGAATGAACGAACGCGTAATCTGCGGAATTTTTGTATACGTTTTATAATCATTCATATCTTGTTTCTTTTTCTTCATAAATAGTTTTTTCAGTATTGCATTTTTATTGTTTTCTTAATGTATGTTCATTCTTGAAAATTGAAAGAATTTGAAGAAACATAGAAGAAGCCTAAGAAAGTTCCATTGTTAATAGAATATCTTCCATTTTGAGCTTTCTCTTTCTTGTTCTTTTTCGATCTTGCCGTGGAAATGAAAACTCTGATCTTCCAAACTTCTGAATCTTGCATTCGTCGTTCGTTTGTCAGGCGCCTTAAATCTTAAAATCGTCGTATTTCGAGAAACTGTGCCATAAATTGTACGATAGCCCTGTATGATACGCGTATCACGTCTGTACAAAATATGCAAGGTTTATAAGGACTTCTACCTCGCACTGCAATTTCGAGATGGCCTTTTGAGGAAAAAAAAAAGGAGGAAACGTACTAATAAAATTATTATTCTTATTTCACATACGCGAAAGACTGACAAATATTACTGCCTATGTTATTTTTACATCCTCGCAGCTGACATGCGTGCGTCATCTTGCGTAATCTAGTTATGTAGCATATTTGTGAATAAACTTGTTTGTTAATGTAAATCTCTTATTCCGAAGGATTTCTTAATGATTTCGACTGCTCTGAGACGATCGAAGTCGAATTTTAAGAACTGCAACTCCGGAGTAATAACGATAGAAATGAGTTCTATTTCCATTTATTGAGAGAGGAACCGCGATACTTGCTTGATGAACCTTCCTTTTCATCCTGAACTGCCAGTTCCTCGTCCAACAATAACTCGAAGTTTCCCAAAGCTTCTGGGGAAGGTGATTTATTCCACTTCACGCTGATCGGATCAATCGCAAATTAATCTTAAACTTATGTAAGATTTCTTTTTTACTAGATGATCATGTACTCACTCAGGCATACCGTCTGGAGGCAAAACTACTGATACGATATTGTCGATTAGTTTGTACTTCAGAATTCTGTCATTCACCGTCGTGGATGTGAGAGATGGTGAAGCATTTACCTGAGAAAAAGTCAGAATTTAAATGTTCTTGAAATTTGAAAATTTATATCGAGTGACGAAATGAATTATGAAAATTAGGGAACTAACTTCGATCAGCCATGGCTTTAGTTTGTTGTCGATGATGATGTCGTATCCGTAACATTCAAAACAATGCCGATCGTTTGCCATCACCGGTGCCACTGCTTTTAACGAGTGCACAATACACCAAGAGATGTTGGCGAAGAGTTTTTCTGTAACCTCCTTCCCGCGTGTACTCTCCAGGTACAGACGCAGATTCTGCACACTCAGCTTGCCGCCATGCTTACTGTTATACTCATCCTGAAATTATAGTATTCAATTATTTTCATATGCATATTGCAAAGAATGTGAATACATAAATTGCATCATTGGAAGTTTGAATTTAAAAAAAATTAGATATTTAGATATTAGAAAAAAATCTAAAATTCCAAGCTTCGTTATTCTATAAAATAAATTTGGATATAAAAAGATTTTAGTTTAGATCAGACAGTCAAATAAGAACTATTTTCGATAAAGCCAAAATCAAATTAAAAACTATCATCATTAAAAGTTATAATAAAAGCTATTATAGCTTTTAATTGATTTGATTTTGGCTTCATCGAAAAATAGCATATTTGTTCCGAGCATTCTAATTTCTAAATTTCTAATACTTTTAATTATATCGTTTTAAATAAAAAATTTTTAGGTAATTTTTATGTGAGACAAGAAAAAAAATTAATTTGATAAATGATGTGATACATACACCATGTTTTTGCACGGACACGTTCGTTAGATGCACGTACATATTGTCGAGCTCTTGAACGCTGGTGTCGTACTTAACGGTGCAGAAGCGACAGAATCCTAATTTAAAGAGATATGCTTTGAGCGGTCGAAACGACGTGATGAGAACATACAGTCGGAGATCAAATTTCTTGCTGCCGATTAGCAATGGATTATCGATGTATCTACAATGAAAAATAGAAAAAAATCGGTTTGATTGTTATTATTTTTACCGCGAAGATCTTATTATCCATAATCAAAACAAATATCTAATTGAAATTGTTACCTAGATATGACATATGATTCTTTCGTCAAATTTGGATTAAATGGTGTCTTCGCCTCGCGCGACCATTTCTTCAGTTTGCTCAATTTGTTGATGAGAAATATCCCAGCGCCCTGCGACTTGCCGCACGGCTTCATAATCCAAGTGCTCTGCGGGGACTTGCGATATTCTTCCACGAACATATTATAATCTACGACATAATGTTATTATAAATCTATGCAAAATAAATTAGAAGTTTCATTTAAAATATTACAAATAAAATATTGGGAGAAACAAATTGCTAATTTATAAATATGACATTACAAAAGTCACATTGGATTGTAACGCTTGTCGTTTTCCGAAACGGCAGAATTTGTATTTACAAAAAAGGAACATTTTTTTTATTAGTATTTTAAATACTAATTTTTATTACTATTTTAAATACTAAATTTAACACTGAGTTCTTTGTATAAAACATTCACTGTACCTGCTCTTTTTTCTACTTTAGTTTTATAAAAAAAACTCATTTTCAAATTAGCTAATATAATTTTTAAATTTGTAGAGCACGATCTCACCTGCGGGTAAAACGAAAGTGACTGGTATGAAATCGAGATATAGATATTTGCCTGGACCTTCCGCCCGTTCTGCCAAAGGATTTCCCTCTCTCTCCAAATCCTTTCGGTATCGCTTGATGTTCTTCACCAGCAGATCTTTACGCGTGAGTTCGTAATGATTTGGAAAGTGATTGATGATTCTAATTAAAAAAAACTCTTATTGTTTTTGCCTTAAATTGTTAAAATATAAATATTCACAAAACTTTCCATAATTTAATATCTTAAACATTTTTTAAAAAATATATATTAATTTTTAATTAAATATATAATTTTTATATATAATAAATGTTTTTCTAATAAAAATTATATGATGAAAGTTTTCAAATTCTTATAACATACTCCATTTTAAAAAATATTTATTTAAAATGTTTTGGAAGCAAATCTTGAATTAAGATTTTATTATTAATAATATAATTAATATCTTCAACTAAAGGAAGGCCTTACTGATTATCATCCATCCTATATCCAGTTTCAACGCTGAAAATATTTCTGCAAGATTGCGTAACAGCCCTAGAATAGATGAAACATAACAATGAATATTCAAGTAACATACAATTTCTTGACGCGGTTTATAATTACCAATAAAAGTTCCAATCGTCCTCCGGACCAACCTGCGTCCAGCCACGCTTCTCGAAGTTGTGCACGATCACGGATTTGTCTACATCTGTGCAGAATGTGATTCTCGTACGATCCATCCCGACCGATGGCACTCTATCGTCATGCGATTAATTTTCTAGTCACGATCGCACAAGAAATCAGCGAGCGCTAATACTTTTTTTGCACAATGGTATGGATTAAATCTTACAATCAGTGATTAAGAAAGCTATTTTATTTATATAAATTATTTTATTTAATAATTATTTATATAAATTTATATAAATTAAGAATGAGAAGGGCTTTCAAGTTTAGTTATCTTAAAATAAATTGTAAGATATTAATAATTTGTAAAGAAATCATCGTTAATATAATAATGAAAATTAAATAACTAATTAAATAACTAATAATAAAAAATAATACCAAAAATAAAAAATAAGATAAATAAAGAGAAATAAATTTATTTCTTTTTATATCAATAAGAAAATAAATTTTATATTAGAAATTGTATAGGATTATAAAAAATGTGTAAGAATTCTGAAGAAGAGATAAATAAAAAAATTTATTTTTCTTTTAATTTTCTACAGCTTTCGAACATAAATATTACGTCGTTTATTATTATTCTGACGAATTTTTTATAGCCTTCATTTAATAATTTATTTCTTTATGAAGAAGAGATCAATTTTTATTTTTTTTTTTATATTAAAGTAAAAATAAATTTTGCACAGAAATTTTAAGTCTAGAAAGTTATAAAGAAGGAATTTTAAAGAGATAAATAAATAAAGAAATAATTTGTTCATTTGTTTACTGAATGAAGAAATAAATCGTTAGAAGAGAATTCACGATTAGCTTGACTAATTTTAATTCTTGAATGTAAGCCAAAATAATTCAAGAATAAATTGTGATCAAACTTGACGCTCTTGAACAGCGTGATTGCATCTAATTGTCAATTGCCAAGTTTATTTACCTGCCATAAACGGCACAGGTATTTGGATTTGCAATCCGTTTGCTTTCCACGGTCATGTTCGATGCCATGTTTTCGATACTTGCGGGCTGTGTCGTTTGATCGATACGACAGTCGATCGATATCTAAACCATCTGAAGTCAACTTAAGTGGAATGCAAATTCAAATTAGATTAAAAAAAGCGTTAAATAAGGGTCGGCAGGAGAGACTATGGAGATCTCTATCGAAGATGAATTCCTTTTAACCCATATTACGGCCAAAATACTGCGAGAAAAGCTATATAATTATGATATTTATAATCAGAATATTTGCCTGATGAAAGCTACAGAGCGATTTTTGTAAGAAAATGTGTGAAAATAAATAATTCATTTTATGTAAATAGATTTGCATTATAGAACAATAAGGTGCATTTTCATCTATTGAAATTTTTTTTTAAGAGCCAAATTGCAAAATCCCGCTCTGTAACAAGAGTCATAATTTTATAAAAAATTACATAGAAAAAGACTCATGGCAGAATATTGCTTCTACGACATGAACGACATAGGGGTGTACTCAAATATATATCTGCACTGTAACTAAGAAGTAGATAGTTACACTTATTTTAATTATTTAAGAGCTAAATTGCAAAATTGACTCTGTAGGTAATTCGTAATTGTAAAAGAAATTATCTTAGCAAAGAAACGATGTTTCATGATGAAACATCGTTTCTATAAGACAAAATATAATTGAATATATATCTGCACTGTAAATAAGGAGTAGATAATCATTTTAGATTAAGTCGGAGTTAGCCCGTCACTCCTGCCGACCCTTAAATCTTGCCAACTATTATCAAATTAATAAGTATATTATATTACAAAAAATTTAACATTAATAATAAATGTTTATATTAATAAATTTACACTATTGGCAATCAAAATTTTGTCGATTTTGTGATCGACATTAAAAATAATATTTATTTTAATAAATAATTTTTTTTATTAAATGCAAGTTGCATTACTGTATCAGCTAATAAATCATATAATAATCAGTTACTAAAAAAAATAAATAAAAAGTTATAAAGATGTATTATCAATTTTAATGTAACAAAGTTCTTTAAAAAAGTAAGAAATTTTCTTCGATTATTTTTAGCTTAGAAAGTCTGGTCATTGAGAAGTGGAATATTATTCTTAGGAATATTAACAAATACATTTTATTGATTATAAATCCTTAAACATTGTAATGTATGTACATATTAAATCCTAAACCAACCGGGTAATCCAGGCGCTTTGTTGGGTTCCAGAAAGTCCTGTAAGTCCTTTTTAAGCATGTTTAAGTTTTCTTCGTCTGTCTTTTTTACATCCTCGAATAATTTGGGAAACACAAATGACTGGTCCTTTGGCTACAAGGAATGACCAAAATTAATTTTAATCAATTTTCAATTTTAATAAATTTAATCAATTTTCAAATCTTTTTCTAGAAAGAGAAATTAGAGAATAGTTATGATCCATTACCAGTATGACATAAGCTATTTTCCTGTCATCTTCTTTAATGACACAGTGCTGTAATCGATCCCTCTTGAATCTTCCCATAGCAATTCTTGTCCTTATTTCAACAATGTCAATTTTGTAAATCTTCTCCAAATAATTTTTTATGTCATATTTAGTCATTTCCATGGAGCAGTGAAACTGTACTATATTTGGAAGTTGTTTGTCCGTAGGTTTAATTAGCTTCATCCAGAAATTTGGTAAAAAGACTCTCAGCTGTGGATTGCCTTTTTGATATAGAGGATAGCTGAATGGATTCATCAATTTAAAATTATTATTAATTGACAGATATAAATTGAAAGACATAAAAATCTTGTAATATTTATTATAGTACATAAATATGTTAAAGTTGTATGATTATATAGTAAAAATTTGAATAAAAAATATTTGAAAAATTTCGATTGTCCTGACATAGAATAATGGATATACAAAATATGACTTTTATGCTACAAAACGTAATTTTATGTAAAATTAAGGTTAAAATTATCCATTCATCACTTCTAAAACCTAATTCATCCAAGATTATTGTTATTTAATTATGGTATTAAATAATTATGATATTAAATATCGTTGAAACTTACAATCGTGTTGACATTGTGCCGTAATGTAATATTCTTTTTTTATATCAATCACTTATAATCGTTATAACCTCAAACCTTGCAATACTGTTTATAAGAAATTTTGTTACCGACAGAGTTTAGGTCAAACAAATAAGATCAGTTTCACCAACTCCGATTAACTTTATCGACCGATCAAATATAATTTTTTAATTATTTAAATTAAAAATATTATTTAATTATTATTTAAAAATATTATATTTTACATAAATACATTGTAATTTGCAGAAACAAGAAAAACAAAATAATAGGGTAAGTTTTAAGTTTTGCTTTTGGCAATTTTTAAATATATAAATTCGATTAAGAAAAATAAAAAGTTATAAGACATATAAGATCATTCTGCCATTTATTATCCTATTGTTTGAAAATTATTTTGACTTATTACATTATTTGTTTATTACATGACATTAGCATACGTTCTTTTCAATATTTATTTAGTTATTGCGATAAATATCATCACATGAAATCGTGCCAAAATAAAAAACATAGGAGTAGTGTGTGTGTGTGTGTGTGTGTGTGTGTGTGTGTGTGTGTGTGTGTGTGTGTGTGTGTGTGTGTGTGTGTGTGTGTGTGTGTGTGTGTGTGTGTGTGTGTGTGTGTGTGTGTGTAATATATGATATGTATGTACACATCGTGATACTAAATGAGGTTAGAATCTCCACTAAGCGGAGTTTGAATTTTACCAAACGAAATTTGAGTCTCCGCTAACCGATATAAACGTCACTGTTCGTCATCAGTTCCAAAATCCCGGAATCGGGATGTATCGCGCGAATGTAGGTATATTCCTTTTGTCTTCAAGAATATTGTTAACATTCCACGTCGATTATCGAGACTGACAAAATATGATAGACTCGCGGAGCGTACACTTTGTAGCAAAATGGCCAGCCGCAGAGAGGAAACGCGGACGGACTTCGCCAAAATTGTCTCAATGGAAGACAAGCCGCCTCCGTGAGTCAACCGCCGATGACAATCTCGGAGCAATTCAGGGAGTCGTGGTTGACGGCTATAATTGGGTCCATTATGTTCGCCACTGGAATGTGTCTTCTGTTTTGGAATGAGGTTTGCGAATAATACCTATACCATATTCTTTGATCAGTTTTCTGCAACTTCACATTCTGTCTCTTTTCAGGGAAGAGCCGTGAAAGTAGCGCATTCCTTAGATGAGGCTCTGCGTAATGTAATCGTGCTTCCTAATTCCATGATGCTGTCACCTGAATACGAAGGTCGCTTGATACATCTGTCAGGCCCCTTGCTAGTCTCCGAACCATTAACTGAGCCAGATTATGGAGTCGTCATGTCAAGTGTAAAATTGAAGAGAAGGGTTCAAATGTATCAGTGGGTTGAAATTGAAGAAGAACAAAGGTATAGAAAAAAGAGTTTGAGATGTTTGAGATTTATATCATTTGAAAACAAGATTTTTTCTAATTAGAAGTTTTGATATTAAATCTTTCATGTTAAATAAAATTCTAAAATAAAATTTTATTAGTTTTGGTGGAATAACAGAGGATGAAAAACATTATTACTACACGACAGAATGGAAGGATAAACTCGTGGATTCAGATCATTTTTACATTCGTACTGGCCATCATAATCCGAAGGAAATGCCAATCAAAAGTCAGGTCCAGATTGCGGATGAAGTGAAGATTGGCGCTTTTACACTTGGCATGGAATTGAAAAAAAAGTTCAGTGACTTTGTAGAGATCACCAGCGATGAACGACCAGAACGAAAGAACATCAAGATGCACTCTGGACTGTATTACCACAGTGCAGATTTGTGGAATCCACAAGTGTGTTGCTTACAAGAAATTTTTTCTAATTAAGATTTATACAATTAAAAAACTTAAGGTGGAAATTTTAAAGCAAACTATCTAAAAATTTCAGAAAAGAGATTTTTCTTAAAATTATCATGATGCTCTAACATCATTTGATTTATATTGTAGTTTAAGATTTTTATTTTTGTTTTTTATTCAAGTTATATATCTGAACTTGTTCTACTTATAGGTAGGAGATATTAGGATACAATTTTCCTATGCAGGAAAAAGCGGAGATGTTTACTCAGTGGTTGGCTTGCTGGAAAAGGATACAATTAAACCATATTACACATCTCATGGTGAAGAGATCTTGCTTCAACGAAGGCACAAAATATCAGTGGATCAGATGTTTCATTTGGAGCACGTGCATAATTATTGGCGAACTTGGACTGTCAGGTAATTTTTAGATAAAAATAAATGTTAGAAAAAATAAATGCTCTTATTCTTGATGTTTTTAATAATTTGACTTTTTAAATATTAACAAAAAAGATTCTTAGATATTATAATGAGCAATAATTGAGCAAATGAGAATCAGTATTGTAGACTCAAATTTGAGTTGAAACGTTTGGAACTTTTTATTGACTGAGTTGTAAACTGAGTTTTGTGTGTGTGTGTGTGTGTGTGTGTGTGTGTGTGTGTGTATATTAAGTTAAATTAATTATTGACTATTACCTACGACGTCTACGTTGTTACTTTCTTTAGTTTCGTTTACTTTTATTAACTTACTATTTACGTTAACTTTTTAATTTTAGTTAGTTTAACGTTTTATTACGTAATTAAAATTTAAAAATTTTTAAAAATTAAAAACTTTAAACTTTTAAAAATTTTTTTAAAAGTTTTAAAACTTTTTAACTTTAAACTTTAAATTTAAATTTAAAATTTAAAAATTTAAATTTAAAAAATTTTTAAAAATTTTAACTTAAAAACTTAAAAACGTAAAAGTTTTAACTTAACTTTTAAAGTTTAACGTTAACCTTTTTAGTTTTTTTAAATTTTTTAAATTTTTAAGTTTTTAAGTTTTAAGTTTTTAATTTTAGTATTCTAGTACTACTTTTATTTATTATTATATTTCTTTTTTTATATATATATATATATAATAATATAAACATAAAAATACAAAAAACTAAATATATATATATATTATATATATATATTAATATATATTATATATATATATATATATATATATACACACATAACATATAAATTTTTATTTCATTGCCTCTTTAATTAACTTTTATTAACTTTTATTATTTATTTGTAACTTTCTTGTTATAGAAATATTATTTTCCTTTTCTTCTCTTTCTTCCTCTCTCTCTCTTTTTATTTCTCTTCTTTCTTCTTTTCCTTTTTTTTTCTTTGGACGGAAAATACTTTGACTTGCAAAAATACAAAAATAAAAGCTTAAAAATACAATAGATGTGATATTATCAATAACAATTACCTATTATAAAGTCTAATAATAGCCTGCGATAAATATTTGAGTAGAAGTTTATATACACTCATTCATTATTAGGGTGGTCAATCAAAACAAGTCAAACAATACTGCAGTAAGATTGTCAATATTAAAACTAGCTTATAAACATTGCTTGATAAGTATAAATAATAAAATTAATATCTAAAGTGCAGATAAGATTTTTACAGATTATATAAAAAAATAATTGAAATCATGGATAAAAAGAAAACATATAAACCGTGTGCTGATATTGACTCGGGATGTGAAATCGTTATTTCTGGCATTGCCGGTAGGTTTCCAAACTCAGACAACATGAATCAGTTACGAGAAAATCTATTTAATAAAGTTGATCTCGTTAGAGCAGATCATAATCGTTGGAAAATAGGTAATTATTTATATATCAATTATCTCTAATTGGGAAATGGAATATTATGTTCCTGCAATAATTATAACTGCATAATTAGATATACAAAAATCTATTACAAATAAAAAATCTATTACAAATAAATCTATTACAAAAATCTATTACAAAAAAATCTATTACAAATAAAAATTAAATTAAATTAAAATTTTATATATATATTTTATAAACAAATAAACAAATAAGCAAAAAAGCACAAAATTTATGTAAAATTGTATTTTTTCATTAGAGCATCCAGATTTACCTAACCGTATGGGAACAATCAACAATGTAGAAAAATTTGATGCGGATTTCTTCGGATTCTCTTCCGAGCAAGCACATACATGCGATCCTATGGTAAGAATATTATTGGAACATTCTTATGAAGCAGTTATCGATGCGGGAATAAATCCAAAACAATTACGGGGAAAAAATACTGCAGTGATTATAGGGGCATCTTTTCTTGAAACACAAGAGAAATTTCTGTATGAGGATATTCAGGTAGAAAATTATTAAGATTTATCATTGATTTAATTATAAATTATAAATAATTATAAATAATTAAATTATAATTAAATTATAATTATTGATTAATATGTAGTAAAACATAAATAATAGCAAACAAGGTTATTGAGAATCAATAAGTGATGCGCAATTTTTAATTATTTTTAATTATTCTCAATTATTAAATAAATAAATTTGTATTACAATTACAATTTGTATTTAAATAATGCATTAATACCACTAATATCATTTACCATACGTTTTTAGTTCACATTTGAATTATCTTAAGCGATCGAAAGTGTTAATTGAACACATTTTTTGTGTGTTACGCTGCAGTCTTTTAGTGAACGTATTTATAACACAATCTAACAAAAAACAGATGTAACTAATAATAATAAATTCGATTGGTTGAAAAGAAATATGAGTCAAAATGTAAATCTTGAAATGTAAATTTCTATATCACTGTTACAGTTGTAGTTATTTATTAAAAATTGATATAAAAATTATACATCACCGCACTGACTCTCCGTAACGCTTAATTTGTATTACTTATGTTTCTGAAAGTTTTCACCCTAAATCTTATTACTATTTTGATATATAATAACATAATATAATGTAATTATTGAATGTATTCTATCGATGCGAAAATTTTTAATCGATGATATTTTATGATTAGGTAGACGGTGTGAATGTTATTGGATGTAGCAAATCTGCAACAGCAAACATGATTTCGTATCATTTAGATCTCAAAGGACCATCTTATACAATCGATACGGCCTGCAGTTCTGGTCTTCATGCCGTGGCCGTCGGTTATCATTGTATCACGTCAGGCATTTGCGAAGACGCAATAATTGGGGCTGCAAATCTATGTTTCCATCCAATTATTAATCTGCAGTTCGCTCGTCTTGGTACTGTTATTAAAATTAATTACTTTAAATTAGATATAAAAATATATTATATCTCTCTTATATTATTCTTTACAAAAAACGGTAGAATTTAAACGGGCAGAATTTACAACAAAAATGTTCAGAATAACATTCTTATTACAAATGAATATCGCGTACCTTAATGGAAGCAATAGCTAATTTTTTAATCTTTTGGGAATGTAAACTAATCATTCATATATTTAGATATACTCATATATGTATACCATGTATAATTTTAGGTGTTTTGTCATCCGATGGTTATTGTAGACCTTTTGATATGACCGCAAGCGGTTATTCACGTAGTGAAACAGTGGCTGTGTTATACCTTCAAAAGGCGAAGAATGCGAAAAGAATTTATGCCATATGTTCACATGTTAAAATAAACAATGATGGTTACAAAGAAGAAGGAATAACATATCCATCAACGTTTATGCAAAGTACTTTATTAATGGAAGTTTATAATGAGTGCGGAGTACCGACATCTTGCTTAGATTACATTGAAGCACATGGTACTGGAACCAAAGCAGGTGATCCTCCAGAAATCAATGCTATACATAATGTTTTGTGTAAAAATAGAGAAAGTCCATTAATGATCGGTTCTGTAAAATCCAATCTTGGCCATGCAGAACCTGCCAGTGGTTTTACTCAAATTGCTAAGGTAAAAATGACTTTTTCTTCTAATTTAATTGGATTATCAATATTTTTATTTTTATACATATTGCCTATAAAAAACAAACAAAACTCTAAAATTATATAAAAACTGTTCAATAAATTACTATATTTTATTTTAACATATAGAATAATTTAAGAATTTTAAATTTTAATTAAATTTATGTTATAATAATCATAATGAGACAAACGACATATTATTAATCAATCGTAAATTTAATAAATTAATCAAGCCTATTTCTATTTATATACATACACACAAAAAATAAATATAGTTTCATTTAAAAATACGTAAAAATTTTTGATAAACAACTATATTACATTTAATAACATATTAATGAACAATTTGAAAATATATTTAAACTTTAATCAAATTCGGTAATAATTATAATAAATACAATAAGGCAGGCAATATATTATTAATCGTAAATTTAACAACTTAACTCAAATCTAAATTTTGAAGTAATTACTGATTCTTAAAGGTAATAATTGCACTAGAAACCGGATATGTTTCACCAAATATCAATTATACATCACCACGAGATGATATAGATGCCTTAATAAATGATACTCTTTGTGTTGTCCAAGAAGCAATGCCACTTAAAAATGGTTATATAGGTATCAATTCTTTCGGTTTTGGAGGATCTAATGCTCATATGTTGTTAAAGTGGAATGACAAACAAAAACTTAACAATGGAGCATCGTATGATGACTTGCCAAGACTCGTAATATTATCTGGTCGTACTGAAGAATCAGTACAGTTATTTTTAAACGACGTTAGTAGACATTTGAACTTCATTTAATTTTAGATAATTATGAATAAGGTTACATCATAAACAGTCACCTTAAAAAAATTTTTAATTGCAGATCATTAATTCTCAAATAGATATAGAATATATTCGTTTACTACATAATGTCTATGCAGACAATATAGATGGTCATTCGTGGAGAGGATATACCGCATTAAATACTTTTGAAGAAAAGTCGATAAAGAAAATTCAAAAATACAATAATATGAAAAGGCCTATTTGGTTCATATTTTCTTCTTTAGGCTCGCAATGGCCAGGAATGGGTACATATAATACATATAAATATAAATATCCTATTTATGATAAAATATCTTAATAACAAAATTGTTTATGTTAAAACTTTACCAGGTCGAAATTTATTGAAATTTCACGTCTTTGCAAATACAATACAAATGTGCGATGCTATTTTAAAACCATATGATATAAATATAACAGACATTTTGACAAATACAGATGAAAGGGTATGCGAAGATGCGTTACATGCATTTGTTGGAATCGTAGCTGTTCAGGTAAAGTATTTTTTTGAAATTACAAATTAATTTTATTTAAAAAATATTCAGAAATAAAAAATAAATATTAATATTTTTATATAATGTTTTTATTCTATTCCACTGTATTAAATAAATAACTTTAAGTATCGCCAGAGCACATTTTTTTCATTTTTTATGCTAATAAATAATAACGTAAATAGAATAATTAAATTATACAAATAATTAGAATCCTAAAAGTATATTTGAAAATATTTGCAGATTGGTTTAGTAGATCTTCTAACATCTTTAGGGATTATTGCGGATTATATGATAGGATATTCTGCTGCTGAACTTGGTTGCGCGTACGCGGATAAATGTCTCACTATTGAACAAACTATTCTATCAGCATACTTTATAGGCTTGGCATGTGTCAAGAAAGAAAAGATAATACATAGCTCTATGGTAATTGTCAATCTTAATTATAAATGTCTCAAAAAAATATGTCCAACGGGAATCGAAGTAGTATGCCACAATAGTGAAAGTAGCAGCGTTGTAATTGGACCCGCGGAATCCATACAAAAATTTATGGAAAAATTACAGGTACAAATGAATCTTTAATAAAAGTGTGATATTAATTTTAATGATCTTTAGAAAATATATAAAATTTTAATTCAATCTCTAACTTACATACTCTTGTATACATACATATTAATTTTCTTTTCATTATAGTGATTAAATATCTATTTATTCAGGTTGATAACATTTATATAAAAAGAATTTCTTGTAATATACCGTATCACAGTTATTACATCGCTTCCATCAAAACTCAGCTTTTGCTTGATTTGAAAAAAGTAATATCACAGCCAAAAGAACGAAGTTCAAAATGGATCAGTACATCTGTACCTCGTTCCAAGTGGTCCACTGCAGCATCAAAGCTATCATCGGCGGAATATCACACGAATAGCATATTGAATATCGTTTTTTTTGAACAAACAACACATTTAATTCAAAATAATGCTGTGACTATCGAAATTGCACCCGACAGCGTTTTGCAGAATATTTTAAATGAATCTTTGCATCCAGAAGTAACAAATATCACATTAACACAACGCACTAAACAAAATACGGATGTAATTCT